TTTTGTTGGAAGTACTTCTGACTTTTTCTTCATATGCTTTAGCTATCTGTGGATGCTACATAAATCAGCATTTAGTTAACTACAGAGAGTATGTTACAGTTTGAACTACACATAGCCCCTCACCTACTCTTCTCTTTAAAGAATAGAAAACGTTGCTATTTAAATTTGTTAAGGAGATCCTGTTTTACTTTACTTGTTGTTTTCATTATTAAATCAGAGATGACAAAAAACTCTGTCACTTAACAAGAGAAAAATTAAATCATGTCTTAAAAAAGAGTAATGATAAAATTCTGATAGAACATTAACTGTATTGTGGCAAAATATACTGAACAACATTCAGTGTATTATGCTAACCATATAGTTTTTGCTACGGAGACAAAAAAACATGAAAACCTTTCAACATTACTAACTCTACACTTAAAAAGTCTCTCCCCCCATCACTTTTGTCTAGTCTCCAGCAAATATTATTTTTCCCATTGATCGCCATACAATTTGCCAGAGGATGCTTTGATCACAGTGGGTAGCAGCACACAAAAATAAGGTCAAACTACCAATTTATATCTAAAAGGGTGGATTAAAACAGATGTCTGCTGACATATAATTTGCCCATCCACGGGCAGAATTACTGAGTAGATACTGAGTAGATCATGTTTCTTGATTCTTTACGTTTGATCCAATTGTTTATTTAACCAATCATTTGCTCTTGAGGCAGCATCACACAGACATCTGTCAAAATATTGAACATTGCATGATCTCAGCTAGTCGCTAACTTCTAAATGTCATTTAACAGGAGGAGCAGGATATTTAAACTGGAGGTCAAGAGAACTGGTGAAAAGAGTAACAGATTGCCCTCAAATTCACAAAGGTCGGAATAGATGTATTTATGGAGAACGTGTGGTTTCAACAAATTCCTACAATTATAATTCTCTTTATAGAATCTATTTTAAATTACAGAAAGGAATATAGAGGCACCAAAACAGACAAAACCTTTATACAAGTAAATGACTTTGCACCACATATAGTACGGCACGAGACTCGTGGGGTGGAGTTACAGGCATCCTTCACCGCTTAAGCCTCTCCATCCCTGACACTGGCACCAGGGGACCCACCCTAGCCTTTCCTTGGGCTTCTCAGTACGTGTCAGGAAGTCCTAAAGGATATTGAGACCCTAGCTGTGCCCTGCCAATGGGGTCTTCAGATTCTCTCCTGAGCTGGTCTGAGGCTGTCTGGGATAAAGCAGGGGTTCCCCCAGCCCCCAAAGCCCAGGTCACAGACTGGTACTGGCTGGTGGCCTGTTAGGATCCAGACCATGCATCATAGGTGAGCAGCTGGCAAGCAAGCAAAGCTTCATCTGTATTAACAGCCACTCCTCATCGCTCACTGTACTGCCTGAGCTACCTCTTCTGTCAGACCAGCGGCGACATTAGCTTCTCCTGGAGAGGGAACCCGACTGTGAACTGTGCATGCGAGGGATCTAGGCTGTGCATCCCTTCTGAGAACCTCACGCCTGATGATCTGGGGTGGAACTGAGGAGGGGATGGTAGTGCTGGGGTGTAGCTGCAAACACAGATGCACATAAGCTGTGAGGTTTGACCGTGCAGAGACCATCATAAATCAATTGCTTGCAGACCCACATCAAAACTCTATCAGGGAGTGGTAAGTGAGTTGATGGACTTCAATTGTACAATTGCATCTGGTGACAGGCTTTAAGTCAAAATCTGACCATTATTTTACTTATCATTTCCATTCACACCTCTCACCCCCACTACACACTTGTCTCAATCACACTTTTGGTAAGCCCTCAAGACAGTCCTAGCCAAAATGAGCTAAAAAAAAAAGTCTCCAGAGAATTTCTTTCAGAAAGAAGCTTTCCCTTTCTCTGGGAAAGACCCAATGATGAGACAGCAGAAGATTCTAAGACTCCTAACAAAAATAAAGCTGCATTAAAAAAAAAAAAACCAAGAGTCCTACTTAAAATACAGGTTCATTGCAACATGTGATTCACATTCTCCAAGCCCACTTTGTATAATATGTGGTGACTGGGTGTCCAACAAAGCCGTGACACCTTCAAAACTGCTTCGCCACATGGAGACCTAACACCCAGTATTAAAAGCCAAGGCTTTGGAGTTTTTCTAAAGAAAAACATCATGAATATGAAGAACAAAAGCAATTATTGAAAGCCGTCATTTAATCAAATGTGTCTATACCGATAGCTTCGTTCTTAGTGACTAACCACACTGCTAAAGTCTTTTGCTATTAGCGAAGAGTCAATCCTACCTGCCACTAAGGACATAGGCTGTGAGTTTTAAGGAGAGGCTGCAGTTCAAAAGGTGGCATGTGTTTCTCTTTCAACTGGCCCCATAACTAGACAAGTCGAAATAGCCGAGGATATTGAGGCACTCTTGTGAGAGAGGATTAATAAGTCCTGGTACACAATCCAGGCTGACAAGTCTACTGATGTTGACAACATGGCAACCATGCTTGTTTTTGTGTGATATCCTTTTCAGGAGAATGCACACAAGGACATGATTTGTGCCCTTTTGTTGCCGACCAATACCACAGCTGCAGGACGATTCAAGTCTTGGAAGGATTACGTATCAGGAAAACTGAATGGCTCATTTTGTGGCAGTATATGCACGGATGGAGTGGCTTCCATGACTGGACGGCTTTCTGGTTTCATGACTCAGGTCAAAGAGGTGGCCTCTGAGTGTGAGTCCACACTCCGTGTCACCCACAGAGAAATGCTGGCTAGCCGAAAAGTGTCACCTGAACTTAACAACATTTTGCCAAATGTGAGTTGGATTGTCCACCACATTTAAGGGCATGCCCTTAACTCACATCTATTCATGCAGTTCTGTGAGGAGATGGACACAGAGCACACACGTCTTCTCTTACACATAGAAGTGAGATGGCATTCTAAAGGTAGACCATGGTCCAACGTTTTTGAATTACAAGAGTTACTCCAGAGATTTCATTTAGAAAAACAATCACCTCTGGCAGCACATTTCAGTGACACAGAATGGGTCGTAAAACTTGTTGACTTGTGTGAGGTGTTCAACCTGCCCAATGAACTCAATCTGTCACTTCGGGGAGAACAACAACCATGTTCAAATCGGCAGATAATGTGGCTATATTCAAAGCCAAATGGGAATTAGGGAGGCAATGAGTGAGCATGGCGATCTTGGACATGTTTCAAATGTTAGCAATTTTTGAAGGAGACAGAGCCAGGGCCTTCCTTCTCCCAGCTGGTGTATACTCACCTGTTTCACCTTTCAAAAGAGTTTGAGCATTACTTCCCAACCACAGAGGAGCCCCGGAATTGGGAAGGAATGGATCTGTGACCCCTCTGAGAATAAGCCAGGTGAATTGGCTTTGTGCCAGAAGAGGATCGACTGCTTGAGATCGCAAATGCCGGTGGCCTTAAAAGTGTGTTGGAGCCAACTTCACACCTCCATACGATCCGGATTAAAGTCAAGGCGAAATATCCTGAGATTGTCACAAAGGCACTGAAAAACCCGCTTCCATTTCCAGCCTCCAATCTTTACAAAGCAGGTGACAGAAACCAAAATGAGATTACAGAGTAGGCTGGACATAAGCAACACACTACAGGTGTCACGGGCTCCCATCACCCCCAGATGGGACTGTCTAGTTGCAGAGAAACAAGCTCAGGGCTCCACTGATTCTGCATGATGGTGAGTTGTATAATTATTCATTGTATATCACAATGTAATAATACTAGAAGTAAAGGGCCCAGTAAATGTCATGAGCTTGAATCATTCCAAAGCCATCCTCTCTACAAATCCCAGTCTGTGAAAAAATCATCTTCCATGAAACCAGCTCCTGATGCCAAAAAAAACTGAGGACCGCTGGGATAAAGGGATATATATATATTCCTTGGGTAAATAGGACTGTTCTTCTTGTTTCACCATTGTCTATCTTCCTTGAGAGGGTCATGTGTGGAAGGCCGGGGTGCAGCCAACATTTGCTAGAATATATGTTTTTCTCTTATGCTGTAACATTCTGGATGGTAAGTTTAACACAAATGGTAAATGAATTCTTATTCACATTTCCTGCATATTACATTTGTGGTCATAATCATTCTTTGAGAAAAAAATTTGTAACCTTTGAGAGAATTATTGGAAACCAGTATCCACTGGAAGCATGAGCAATAATTCAGCATGATGAGTAATAATGTAACTGACATTAACTTAGTGATATTAGGAAAATGCAGAGGCAAGAAGATGTGTTGTTGCCATACAAATAGACTCCGAAAGGCCATGGAACTGTGATAACACACTCTCACAGGAGGAAACATAAAATCTGTATGTTTTGCCCATAAAGAACGTAGAGGGATGCCTCCTAGACCTGAACAAGAAGAGATGGACCTCTGACATAATAACGAAACTTCACACGAATTGACTGGACAGTAGACAGACAAGTATCCATGACTAGAAATCTCCATTAATAAGTCACTCATCTTTCACATATTTAAACATCAAATGATTTATAGAGAGAGGCGTTCTGCAAAAAGAGTTGCCCAGGGCCCTCCACATCTCAAAGGGTCCCCAGCTGCCCAAGTAATTTCAGTTGCGGTTTCAGATTTTGTGGCTAAACTTTTGATGTATTTCATTTCAATTCTGAGGAAAGAGTGACAAATGAAACAAAACCGGGAGAGGCGACCTTTTCTGAACTTCCTCTACGGCACTTTTTGGTGGGAGTTGGGCTTAAGAGTTAAACAGAGGCGTTGTGGAGAGGAAGGCATGGCTGCCGAGGATGCCTGAGCTTTTGCACGTGTGACCCCTTGTGAATGTCTGGAGCTGTGCTTAGAGGATTGACCGGGAGCATTTGCACCTGGTGGGCGAGGACACTTTGTCAAAACTGCTTCTTGCTTCCGTGCCCCACCCTCAACCCTCACGAGGCAGAATGGAGGCCCATCCCATGCAAGCCATCGCTGGGGACAAAGAGATGAGGAAGACCCTACTCCTTGAGGAACATCCCAGGTAGAGGAAGGATAAAGGGTCGCCGGCGGCATGTAGATCTTCAGCCTTGGGCTGGCCCTGCTCAGTCCCTGGATGAAGAAGCCTTGAGGTTCCTGAGCTAGATCAGCACCACCCAGATCGCTTGCAAGCGCATGAACACAGAGGGCCTGGCCCCCAGCTCCAGCCTCGCATGGAAGCCCTGGTCCGTGTGTCTTGACGACAGGTTCGGCTTCACTCGTCAAATCCGCAGCAAGCAGGACCGCCTCTGCCCCTTAGGGCTGGGAAGCGATGACACCCATTTTGAGGTCAGCATGGCCAAGGATGGGTGTGAAGTGCATCGTTTTGATCCGAGTGTCCAATCACCTCACATTCTGGATAGTCAGCGCCCTTGGCATCACCGCTTGTCCATTGATGGGGCGGATCCCCATCCAGCTGTTGCTGCCCAAAGACCACATGTCAACACCAGAAAACTGGGAAGCATTTTGAGTGAGTTTGGGCACCACAAGATTGATGTTCTCAAGGCAGAGTTGGAAAATGCGGAATGGAAAGTTCTGGAAAATCTTATTCTGGAAGATGTGCTTGAGCACATTGGACAGTTCACCTTTGAGATCCATCTCCACTGGCCCGGGTTCGAGGTCAGTGGTGGCGACAACAGTGTTGTGTGGTTCTGGTACAGCCTCCTCAAAGAGAACGAAAAGATTTCAGGCTTTTTCACAGTTACAAAGATTTATCTAAACCTCAGGGGTTCCTGAAGAAGGAAATTTTCAATGCGAGTAGCTGTTATACTTTGAGTTGGGTGAAGACAAGATGGAAATAGGACGCAGGACCTCATCAAGGCCCCGAGGAAATTTTTGCAGAAGGGACCATGTCTGTGATTTGAATCATGGGTTTATCATCCCATCTCCCACTAGCCTGTTACCTGCTTCAGGCAGGGAGTACGAGGAGGACCCTCCAAAACCGGAATTATCTTTTGGAGGGCGGGCACCTTGTAGTGCACTCAGAATTTTTTCCTCCAGATCAAACGATCAGCCAAAGTTTTTTATCTGGAAGTTTTGAGGTTGGGTCACGATTTGCAGAAGAAACATCCCAAGCTGTGGCAAACAGGTGACTGGTTCTTCCACCATGAAAATGCATCTGTCCACACCACGCTGAGTGTTCAGTAGTTTTTGACCAATGATGGCAAAACCCCCAAGCCCCACCCTCCTTGTTTACCTGATCTCACCCTGAGTGACTTTTTGGGTTTCCTGGATGAAAGAAGTCCTTAAAGGGAAACGTTTTGCCAATGTGGAATAGATGAAACAAAAAACGGCAGAAGCCCTAAAAGGCATCAAAATGGGCAAGTTCAAAACTGCTTTAAGCAGTGGAAAAAGGGTCTCAATAGGTGAATTGCATCCGGTGGAGAGTACTTTGAAGGTTACTGAAGTTTAAACATGTAAGAATAAATGCCCATTTTTTAGTTAAAAAAAAGAGTTCAACAGAGTTGGAGTTGAAGTGAAGACATAATAGGGGTGGGGGCTCAACTCTAGTATTTTTGTATAGTCCCAGCAGGTTTCTAACTGCAGCAAATCTGTTAGTCCACCTCCCTCATAAAAGCTGTATATAAAGATGGAATAGCATAATTTTGTGAGTAATCAGCATGGTGGTTAATACCTACTTCGTGAGAGTTTGACGCTGCTTAGACATTTTCATATATTACTATTAAATGGAGAAAGTCAACACACCACGATAGAATGCTTAAGACAATAATATAATTAATCAAACATCTACTTTTTACTTCTTAGCAGAAAGCTAGATATTTAACATAATTTTAATTTTTGCTCTAAAAAATATAGAGTTGATGCTAATCTTCATTAATTTCATAATTACTGTTACATTTTATTTAATCTTTTACCTTAAATCGTCTCTGAGATTGATATATTGGCATAATTTCCAAAGGTACTTGTTGATGTTCCTGACTTGCAGGTGGTGACTCTGAGCGGCAATTAGTAGAAAATAGAAAGAAGCCTTCTGTTTTCTTTTACTCCAAAAGTCTTGAGACTTATTTGAATGAAATTAACAATGACTGAATTCCGTGCTCACTTTCATTAAATTCGGGTTGCTTGTAATGAATATTTAACTTTTTTTTGGCGGCTAGCTAACATCTGAAGTTCCTTGTAATTGGTCTAGGTGAAAAGCAGAGTTGGACTTCTCAAAAGAAGAGATACGGGCAGCCAATGACACATGAAAAAGTGCTCAGCTTCACTCATCATCAGAGAAATGCAAATCAAAACCTCATTGAGATACCGCCTAGCCCCAGTAAGAATGGCCATCATTAATAAAACAAACAACAAATGCTGGTGAGGATGTGGAGAAAAAAGGAACACTTCTACACTGCTGGTGGGAATGCAGACTAGTGCAACCTCTTTGGAAGACAGTGTGGCCATATCTGAAAGAACTAGAAACTGACCTTCCATATGACCCAGCAATCCCCTTATTGGGAATATACCTGGAGGAAGTCAAGTCATTGTACCAAAAAAATACCTGCACACGCATGTTTGCTGCATCTCTATTCACAATAGTAAAAACATGGAACCAACTGTGCTGCCCATCGAAGCTGGACTGAATTTTAAAAATGTGGTACATATACACAATGGAGTATTATGTAGCCATGAAGAAATACAAGCATATGGACTCTGCAGCAACTTGGATGAATTTAGAGTCGATCATACTCAGTGATCTATCACGGAAACAAAGAATAGAGTACCACATGTTCTCACTCATAAGCGGACCTTGAACAATTATCCTAATACTGTAAGAAAGGGATTGGCAGTAGTGGGAAACTGCCAGGGTTGGGGGTGGGATTGGCAGTTGAGGGAAACTGCTAGGGGAGGGAGGGGTCCACCTCATCAACAAGGATACCTGCATAATGAACATTTGTATGCCTAACCCTGAATTGTACCCCACATCTTAAAATAAAG